GCATCATGTAAACTCGAAAGAGTTTTGAATATCCTGAAGAGTTTGTGTCCTTAGCTTGTTGCTGTATAAATACCAGAGATGGAATCAGTCTTAATTTTTCACAATAGGTACCGATACCGATCTGAATAGGTCACACCGTCCCAGTCGGTCTGAAATTCATATCAACACTTGACTGATGAATTATCGTACTATTCCATCTGTGGATAGTGATATTTGACATAGTCAACTTTCAATAAAGTTTCATTACACATCCTCTCTATATGATAATAAGAGCAAAAAATAAATAAATAAAACGTACAGGTAATGAATGGCCTATCGGCGATCAACCAGCCAGTCTAAAATTCGAATCAGACCGGTCGGTAACTGGTACCAGTTCTATCTCTGGTAGATACTGCGAATATACGATGGTTTTAAAATAAATGCTGTAGTGCTCTTCGGAAACACTAGGAAAACAGGTTTTTGAATTTCAACTTGAAACTTTGCATAGAGATAGGTCTTAACAAAAGTAGTTTATTGTGACAGTTTCATGTCTTTTGATTTGGTTCTATCCTAAAATAAGAACATCGAATCTACCATTAAATAGGAGTCATGTAAAAGACATTCTTTTACCATAGCTGTGTCTTAGAATAGGAATAATGATAAGATCTGAAACAGTCACAATAAACTATTCTCATTAAGAACTGTTTTTGTACAAAATTTCGAGTCGAAACTTGAAAATCAGTTTTTCCTGGTGTTTCTGAAGGAAGGAAGACCACGACATTCATTTAAAAACACAACCGTAAAAATACAGTATCTTCGTAGTAATAAGCTAAAGACTTGAACTGTTTTAAAAAATTTATAGTTCATTTGGTTCTACATAATGCATGTACTCTCGACTCAAAAGCGATTTATCACTTGAGTGACTTCCCCGTTAGCTAAATTGTTATTTTTTTTCTTTCTAATAATAACATGTGACACAAAACTAATTCGACCCATATTTCTCTTTCATAGAAAGACGCTGAAAGAAAAATTTTTGTATCAGAAGATATAGAATTTTTCTCTCTTTCGAATTGTATGTCATTTATTTTTGTTACAGATTCATAAACGAAATGATACGACAAGAACAAGACACATTCATACAACGAATTCGTAATTTTTATTTTGATTCATCAAATAAAGCGTGCAAAATGACAGTTAATCATTTTTTAAAACAATATATTCCAAGGTCAAAAATTTATTACATATTGAATAAATATTTGAAATATTGACAAATCGGATATTTACCAAGAAGGAGTGGTCGACAACTAAAACTTCTTAATCAAAAACTAAAACAACTGGTGAAATCTGTTAATATAATCGTTGTGGTATCAGTTAGCATAAATTAACTACGTAGCAGCCTTTGATATAGTAGCTATTAACTTAACATTATAGTTTAGTCGATTTACACGACTTATTTGATGGATCAAGATAAAAATTGCAAATTCGTTGTGCAAGTGTTTCTTTCTCTTTTCATGTTATTTTCTTCATGAATGCATAACAAAATTAACTCATATAAGCATCGAAAGAGAAAAACATGCTCTATCTTCTATTTTACAAGGTTTCTTTCAACACCCTTCTAGCGAAGAAAAATAGGGGCTGACATTTGTCCAATTACATTTTCATCACATATTATGTACAGATAGATTGAAACGAGTAAGAAATATTCATATATTAGTATATTTTACTGTGAATGTTATAACTAGTAACCAAATTAGCACCAAATCATGTGTCTTTTTAGGCTGTTTGGAGATATTTATATATGCAGTGTGACGCCAATATGTCGAGAAATTCATGAGAAAATTTCAAAACACATTTACCTAAATACTTCAATCTATGATATTGCATGAATAAAAGGCAGATGTTATTAGACTTGCTTTCGTGTTTGCACAAACTTGTGATAGAACTAGATAACATTCGAGTTTCACTCAATTGAAAAATGCAAAATGCAACGCGAAGTTTCCAATGTTGATTAACGGACAAATCGATATTTTCTAAAAACCAAATAATCTTTTGGATGATTGAATATGAAACGCTTTTCCCCCAAAGGTAATCACCCTATACTGAAATCAGGGCTTTCTTTTTTTGTTGCTATATATCGGAAAAGCTACGTTTCGACTAATTAGAAGATAAAAGTCAGAAAGAAACTGCGAAGTACTCATTGGAAAGTTCATTATTACAAGAACTGTATTAATGGATGCAAACATGATTTTACAGAATACTTCTGATTGATCTCTAGATTCTCTCTCTAATTTATTATTTATCTTCAGCTATATTCACGACTGTCCTAGCTATAATCAAAGAGAATGGTGACTGACATTTTGTGCTGTCATCATTTTAATTATCTCGAAGCTTGACAAAAGCAAAATTGACATAAGCTTACCTTTTTTGATGATTTTCTGACGAAAATCGGATGCCATATTAAAAACACAAAAAAAAAGCAGATGTTATCGATTTATTCTGAGAGACGAAGTTCATCAATACTATAGAAAAGATAATACTTTCGGCTAAAGTATAAAAATTAGGGTTTTCTTCGATGTCAAAAACGATATTTACTTTTGTTTTCGAAATTTACTTGAATTTCTATAGTTATTGTGACTGTGAGATCATTGAGACCTTCTATTATTGTTTTTCAGTTATTTGTTTAACATACTTTAAAAGCATCGAATCGTTAGTGCCTTTTTACAAAGCAGATTATTCGTGGATCCTCAAAACCTTAAATAATCCTGGAAACGGATACGTTACGCCATTTTATAACTCGTTTGTTATTAAAATTGGCCGTTTTCTTTCTTGTCATCAGAATATATCAGAATTAGTGTTTATCAGTTCAAGATGAAAAATCTGAATGAGATCGTATGGTCATCATAACGATAGACACTCGAGTAATTTTTGAAAAGAAAAGTGCATATCGTCTTTGGCATGAAAGAAAAGCCTAAGTTTTATATTGTATCCAAAAGTTTTATTTTTTCTTTAGTACTGATGAACTTGGTCTTTAAGAATAAAAACTTACTAATCTTCTCTTTAAAATAAAAACAAAGGTTCTTTGATTAAGCTTGCTCAATAGTGAATTAATATGCGTTTGTTAAGTGATCATAACTATTGAAAAATTCTGTATTCAACTAGTATTCGTCTCTCTCATCAATTCAAGAAATTATTTTAACCTATAGTTGCATTACTCTTTCTGTTCCAAGTGTAACAGTAATTCACCTATATCTAGAAATAAATCTTTCAATCGATGAGCATTCTCTCCTTTTTTCTTCTCTTCGTGAAATAAACTATTCTTGCATTGAAACAGAAATAATAATCTATTGCATAAATTAAAAGGTTTTCTTTTCTTTTTTCTCTTTTCTATTAGCCAGCCACATAGCTCTATACTAGCCATAGACAAACTCTTCTTATTGAAACACAAATTATACCGTGAAGGTCTTTCTTTTTGCAATGCATTACCATCATTTTGACATCTACGGATTACCTTATCGGTGAGCATTGTCTAATGATATTCTTAATAAGATAGGCTTTCAATGCATGCGCACGTGCGCACGTACCAGAGTTGTAACCGGTCCGGTCCGGACCGATGCCGGACCGGACCGGTGGAGGTCCTTCAACCGGCCGGAATTTGCCGGGTTTTTGCCGGTTGCAGATTGTTGACACAATATATTAATTCTTTTTTTTTTAGAAGAGTACTGCATGCCTCTTCATGCTTTTTTAAAGAAGAGGAGTACAATTATTTTTAAATACAAAATTTTCAAAATTTTTTCTTCTGAATGTTTTCCAAAGAGAAAATAAAACTATCTACTATTAAAAAAACAAATGAACTGTCACATATGATGTACTTATATGCTTTTATCGTTTTTTTTTGCTATTCATACTCTTGAGTTTTTGTTTTTCTATATTTATATATATTGTTTTATACGAATTTTGAACTGAAACAAGAGAAGAAATAAAAATGGCAGATTGATTTGCGTGGAAGGGCATCATTTTTCGCACAACGGAATTCAATTTTAAAAAATGTTCTTTAAATTTTTCACATGAAGAATCTACTTCATTGCCAACTAGCTTACGAGGGAACCTTTTCAACTGTCCAATCGCTTTTGAGTTCGAACTCAGTGTGAAAGATAGACCCCAGTGAGGTATGAAAAGGCCCAAAAGGATAAGTGCCCATAGGCCTTCTGTCCAGAGTTATAGGCATTTTACTGGATTTTTAGCCTATGGCACAGTATATACCAAAAAATCGAATGACAATATTTCGAGCTGAGATTTTGTCCAACGATAGGTCTATGTACCAATAGAATGCCCTGAAAATTTCAGCTCAAAAGAATGTTTCAATCTCGGGATATTAAACTCCCAAAAATCACGCATATCCCGCGAATGATGCTAGAATTTTTTGGCTTTTGGGTGTTCAATATCTCGAGATTGGAACATTCTTTTGAGCTGAAATTTTCAGGGCATTCTATTGGTACATAGACCTATCTTTGGACATAATCTCAGCTCGAAATATTGTCATTCGATTTTTTGGTATATACTGTGCCATAGGCTAAAAATCTAGTAAAATGCCTATAACTCTGGACGGAAGGCCTATGGGCACTTATCCTTTTGGGCCTTTTCATACCTCACTGGGGTCTATCTTTCAAACTGAGTTCGAACTCAAAAGCGATTGGACAGTTGAATAGGTTCCCTCGTTAGTCTCGTGATATTAAAAAAAATATACTGAGCTATGCTATCTTCACAACACATAACAAGGACTCGTATAGGTACCTATTGTTACCATGATAAAAATTTTGTTCACTGAACAACATTTTGAAATCGCCGGTTTTTGCCGGTCTAGAAATTTTTTTTAGACCGGCAGGTCACCGGCCGGACCGGACCGGTCTAATTTTTCTTGACCGGTTACAACTCTGGCACGTACATCTCTTCAAAATTAAAACGAAAGAAAAATGCTCTTTTCTCTTCATTACATTTATTATTTTGAACAAAACTAAAATTAATTACATTTTCTTTTTCAAATATTCGATATTCTTTGTATATAACTGAATATCTGGATGATTTTCAGATAATGAATGTTCTACAGTTTTGAGAGACTGTTCAAAAAGTGTAAGTGCTTTTGAATGATCACCCATCTTGAAATATACCGAACCAATGTTGTTGTAAGATTGCGCCAAACTCGGATGATTTGGAGGAAGAGTTTTATGGCGAACTTCCACTGCTCTTTCATAGTATATAAGTGCCTTAGAATACTCACCCATTTTGAAATGCACCGAACCAATATTGTTATAAGATTGAGCCAAACTCGGATGGTTTGAAGGAAGAGTTTTCTGTTTAATTTCTAGTGCTTTTTCATGAGATGAAAGTGCATTGGAATAGTCACCGATGTTTTCATACACCAAACCAATGTTATTGTAAGAAGTAGCTAGACTCGGATGATTTGAAGGGAGAGTGTGTTGGTGAGTTTCTAGCGCTTTTTGAAGAAATGAAAGTGCATTCGAATATTCACCCATGTTTTCATAAACTGAACCAATATTGTTGTAAGAAGTAGCTAGACACGAATGATTTGGAGGAAGAGTTTTTTCATGAATTTCTAATGCTTTCTGAAGATATGAAAGTGCATTCGAACAGTCACCAATTTTGATATACGCCGAACCAATGTTATTATAAGAAGTAGCCAAACTTGGATGATTTGAAGAAAGAGTTTGTACATAGAGTTCTAGTGCTTTTTGATGAAATGAAAGTGCATTCGAATAGTCACCCATATTGTCATATACCAAACCAATATTATTGTAAGCAGTAGCCAAACTCGGATGATTTGATGGAAGAGTTTGTTGATGGATTTCTGATGCTTTTTGAAGATATGAAAGTGCATTCGAATATTCACCCATCTTGATATACACCGAACCAATATTGTTATAAGATTGAGCCATATCAGGACGATTTGAAGGAGAAATTCCTTGGCGAACTTCTACTGCTCGTTGATAATATGAAAGTGCTTTCGGATAGTCACCCATCTTGAAATGCACCGAACCAATGTTGTTGTAAGATTGCGCCATACTCGGATGGTTTGGAGAAAGAGTTTTCTGTTTGATTTTCAATGCTTTTTGATGATATGAAAGTGCATTCAAATAGTCACCGGTGTTGTCATATATCAAACCAATGTTGTTGTAAGCAGTAGCCAAACTAGGATGATATGAAGAAGAGACATTTTGGTTATGAATTTCTAGTGTTTTTTGAAGGTATAAAAGTGCATTTGAATAATCACCCATATTGTCATACACTAAACCAATATTGTTGTAAGAAGTAGCCAAATTCGAATAATTTGAAGGACGAGTTTTTTTATGAATGTTGAGTGCTTTCTGAAGATATGAAAGTGCTTTTGAATAAGCACCCATGTTGTCATAAATTGCACCAATATTATTGCAAGATTGAGCCAAACTCGAATGATTTGAAGGAAGAGTTTTTTGTCGAATCGCCAGTGATTTTTGAAGAGACGAAAGTGCTTTCGGATAGTCACCTATCTTGAAATACACCGAACCAATATTGTTGTAAGATTGAGCCAAACTCAAATGATTTGGAGAAAGAATGCTTTGGCGAATTTCTAGTGCTCTTTCATAGTATGTCAGTGCCTTCGAATACTCGTGCATTTTGAAATACACCGAACCAATGTTATTGTACGATCGAGCGAAATCAGGATGATTTGAAGGAAGAGTTTTTTGTCGGATGTCCAAGGCTTTTTCATGACATGAAAGTGCATTGGAATAGTCACCGATACTGTCATACACCAAACCAATGTTGTTGTAAGTTGTAGCCAAATCAGGATGGCTGGAAGGAAGAGCTTTTTGGTAGATGTCTAGTGCTTTTTGAAGAGATGAAAGAGCGTTCGAATAATCACCCATATTGTCATACACCAAACCAATGTTGTTGTAAGATTGTGCCAAGTCAGGATGATTTGAGGGAAATATTTGTTCGCGAATTTTCAGTGCTTTTTGATAAGATGAAAGTGCCTTCGAATAGTCACTCATGTTGTCATATACCGAACCAATATTGTTATGAGAAATAGCCAAACTCGAATGATTTGGAGGAAGAGTTTTTTCGTGAATTTCTAATGCTTTCTGAAGATATGAAAGTGCATTCGGGTAGTCACTCATGTTGTCATACACCAAACCAATGTTATTGTAAGAAGTAGCTAAATCAGGATGATTTGAAGGACAAGTGTTTTCGCGAATTTCCAGTGCTTTTTGATGAAATAAAAGTGCATTCGAATAGTCACCCATGTTGTCATACACTGAACCAATGTTGTTGTAAGAAGTGCCCAAATCAAGATGATTTGAAGGAAGAGTTTGTTGATGGATTTTTAGTGCTTCTTGAAGATATGAAAGTGCATTCGAATAGTCACCCATGTTGTCATACGCCAAACCAATGTTGTTATAAGATTGAGCCACATCTGGATGATTTGAAGGAAAATTTTTCTGACGAATTTCAAGTGCTTTTTGATGAGATGAAAGTGCCTTTGAATAATCGCCCATGTTGTCATACACCCAACCAATGTTGTTGTAAGAAATGGCCAAATCGGGATGATGTGAAGGCAAATTTTTTTTCCGAATTCGTAATGCTTTTTGATAAAATGAAAATGCTTTGGAATAGTCACCCATCTTGATATAAACCGAACCAATGTTATTGTAAGAAGTAGCTAAATCAGGATGAGTTGAAGGAAGAGTTTTTTGCCAAATTTTCAATGCTTTTCGGTGAAATAAAAGCGCATTCGAATAGTCACTCATGTAGTTGTATACCAAACCGATGTTACTGTAAGCAGTAGCTAAATCGACATCCGTTGGTGAGAGAATTTTCTGTTTGATTTCAATGGATTGTTGATAATAGCCAATGGCTTCTGAATATTCACCTTGATCTTCCTTTACTATGCCGAGCATATGATAATGATATGCTTTATCTCGATCAGTCGTTGCTTGTCTAAGCAAGATATTATATAATTCCTGGGCTTTGTACGGCTGTCCAAGCTTAATTAGCAACATACCCAAACGGTACCATCCTACAGCATCAGGATGGATCTTTTGACGGATCCGTTCAGTAAGTGCTTGACGTTCTGGATCGTTGTCATTGGTCAATGTTAAATCGACTTGCCAAAGACGACGATATCTGTCAAGTTGTTTCATTAGTCCAATTCGAAAGACAGAGTGAATGGAGATGAGAATTTGTTTTTCGCCTCTGACATAACTGACATCACGGACGTCTGCAAATGGTGTTGATGTAATAGATGGATCAATTCTCATGACGAATAAAATACCAACAAGATCCGATGATTCTATGGTTTGACGAACAAACGTAAAGGGTACTTCAGGGCGAATACTAGTGAATAAAAAATTATTAAATGATAGAAGTCCATCTTTGCTTTTCACTAAACGATCAAAATCAGTCTTCGACAGTCCTTGACCATGATAAACAGTATATGAATTTGAAGTTGTATATGCAGCAAACTGTTGAGTATGAAGCATAGCGATGTTGTAGCGGAGATCACGGATGAAAAATCCCATGTTTATGATGAGATCGACTTCTAGCATTCGCAATGATCTGTTGAGCATAGAATAAAGAAAACATGGATAGGTATACCACCAAATTGGTGGATGCCTATGGTATTCTTGTTTGATTTTGTCGATATTTTGCAGTTCTTTTGGATTTGCAGCGAATAATTTACGACAATAAGTAGTAAATTCATCGATATGATGTTGTTCGAAATGTATATTTAATAAAATTTCTTTCATTATCTGTGTGCACATAAACGAAGAATCCAATTGATCGAGGTTTTGCTTGCTGCTTTCACTATCAGCGGTAATGAAACTGATCGAAGTCATGTTTTGATCACATTCTTGTGTAGCTTGTTGAAGGGCTTTACCGATAGGGACAATATATGTAAAGAATCCTTTTATTTTTGGCCAATGTTTGGTCCATTGTTCATGTTGAATTTGGTTCCCAGAAAGAATATAAATTGCACTTATCTGAGGCATGTCATGTATGATGGGAACTGCAATTTGTCCCAAGGTACCAGAAGTGATCATAAACACTTTGTCATGTTTGAAGTCATGGATAAAATTGATACAGTCATCGACATTCGTGAATATATTGATCTTGTTGACTATTTCTTTTAATTTTAAAATAATATGCTTGTAACCCTTGTTCTTCTCTGGATCGATGGTATTGTCGAGCCAGACGAGTAAAAAATTCTGAACCATGCGAGCATAATGAGACTGTCGTGGCTTTATACTCGTATGTTCAGATGATGTGCCAGTAGCGACAGCAATTGTTGTTGTTAAATTTTTCTTTTTGTCCATGGTGTGCACGCTATTTTATCGATGAAAAAAGAATACAAATAACACAAGTTGATATAGTATGTTGCGATTTTCTTCTATATGTTTTTATTTGTCTGTGATTGTTATTATCGTTGGAGTTATTTTTTCCTTTCGTTTCACTTCAGTGCTTCACTCCTTTTTTTAATCTGTAGTTGCGCTTATAAGTATCATAAAATAGCGAACGAGTGAAAAGCATGACTCATTGCAACATGTTTTTATATGCTGTGTCACATTTTAGCTCCTTTTTGTTATGATGTTTGGATGTTTTATCTCTTTTTGTCCTTATGTTGCCGTAATTATAGAGAAAATATTCAGTGTTTACATACTAGGTCCTTGACAGGTTTAATAAAGATACTGCAAGGATTCATTGTTTTTTCCAGAGGAAAGCGTTTATCCATGGAATATCAAGATTCTGACAGGATTTAGAACAAGGTTCGATCAAGATTCTGAGCATTTTACTACTAGATTTAAAATCAGAAATTTCTTCAGGCAATAGTAAACCCTGAAAAAAGTGTGTAGCCACGAAAAGTTGAAGATTTTGACAAAGTTTGAAACATGATCTTAGAAGGATCCTATACAGCTTTCGACTGTTTTTAGATTAGAATCTTGCCAAGGTTTCAAAAATTCCTAATTGAAAAAGAAATTTTTGTTAACATCATGCAAGATTTTCTAAAGAGAACGGAAGAGAAATGAATATATAGAGTATCGTTCTCTAGATCTTTGGTTTACAGACTGATCGACTTACTCAACTGGAATGTACCATGTTATTATAATATAACTACAATTTTCCCTATCTTGAATTTCGACTGACTTGTTAACTTATAATTGAATTTTGTGTAAACACAAATTATATAAAAAAAAAAATTTTTTTTTTAATACAAGTTCATTTTAAATTTTGTTTTTAGTTTACAAAATTTCATCAGTTTTTCTTAAATTTAATTCGATTTGAAAAAAATTTACTTGTAAGTTTTTGTATATATAATCCAAATTATGAACAAGTTTTATCAAACGATTTGGCTCCTACTAAAAGTAGTTATTTCATGGAAAAAATTAATGCAATAACTAAAATGAAATTAATATCATAATTTAATAAATTTTCAAATTTCCTTGCAGAATAAAAGCATTAAATCTTGATAGAATCCTGAAAATCAAATTCTGAAAAAACTCTTAACACAAGCCTTCAAAGATCGAAGCTAGATCGTTGTCTTTTCATATCATGATTCTGATTATGATGCGTATTGTCTATAAGGATCCGAAAAGCTTGTTTCTGAAAAACAATTATTATTTTATGTGGTACACGAAAAGGTTACATCAATAGAAATCATCAATTGTGATTGATCAATGAACATCATTGTATTGAATTGTTTTGAATTAAATTTATCCCCTTACTGACAACAACATAAAATAAATTTCAAATCAACGGAACTGAAAAAAATGCACAAGTGATCAATCGCATAAAATCAACTCTTAAACTGTCTTTGAAAACAAAGAATTATAACGTGATCTTCGTCTAATCAATAGAAAACAGACATATACTTTACTAACACTATGAGTTCTTTAACAATGTTCAAACAACTTTTATCAACCAGAAACTGAACTAAATCAATTATATTCATGTGTAGTCATAACGATTGAAGTTTTGTTAACAATACGAGACTGATGAATACATTTTAAGCCTCAATTACTGATCCTTAACATGACGAAAACTTCGAAACATAGTAGCTACTTTCGATCTGATCATTGTTGCTGCTGAAATTCGTTTTGCATGATCTCTAAAAAAAACCCAGAGTTCACATTTCAAAATCGCCATATTATGGAACAAATTGAGACTGAACGGAAATTCGTATCGAAGTTTCGGAAAAAAAACTGATCATATAGGAATACAGAACATTCTAACAACTTTTGAACGAATATCATCTTAGGTTGAACAAACACGCTCGTAAACGATCGTAAATCATCGTATTTTGGCATATTACATACCTCTGTATTGTATACAGAGAAATACGAAGTATATATGGATTTCGTATACTGCGTCCTGAGGTACAACTCTCCTGAATACATCAAATAAAAACTCTTTATAGATCTTTCAATACATTATTTGAAATCATCAGAGAAATAAACTATATTTCTACTTGAGTTTTGTATAAATGCATTGTTTTAAATCAATCTTGATCTGCATAGAGTTCATGCATGTATGAATAGAGTAACAATAGTATGACTATTAATACGTTAATGCCTCTTTTACCGAATGAATATGATCATCATCTGAACGTTAAATTATTTTATAGCTGAGCGCCATCAAATTTAAAGTAGTATAACATAAAATTCGACAATTTTGATGAATAGTAGTGAAATAAGAATTGAAAAACATGATTTTTTTTTTCAATTTTTATCAATAAGTGTACTTTTCGATTTGAAATAACTGCATGTTTTATTTATATCCAATCTTAACAACCAACAGAAAAAAATAAATAAATGTATATGTATATAACGAATAAATTAATACTGTTTTAATAAATCCACTGACATTCTCTAAATCCACACTATGGAGCTGCGGGTCTACGCTTTTGTGGATCTCAACCCGATAGAAACTAAGTTTCGAAACTGAGGTCCAACAGACTCAGATTTGAATCTGATCGGATCTATCCTCGAGGTTTCTTTTCACTAAATGAAGGATCAAAATTTCAGCTATTTCTTGGCTTCTCGTCGAAAATATTTAATCGAAAATTAAACCATAGCTGAAACACTCACCTGAGTCGACTGATGTCAATAGTTCTCTATTCAGACTCGAAGCTGAATACAAAGCAAGTCTTAAATTAAATCTGGATATGGGCCCAGACCTGAACTAGATCGGGCCATGGCTAGAATCATCAGCAGCTCTCTCGTCGACACACATACAAATATACAACAAAGAACAAAAAAAAAACATCACACACACATATACCCGTTCTAAAAACCAGTAATTCAGAAAAATTCATCACTCATTCAATTATTTATGAAAGACAAAGACGAAAAGATGAAAAAAAAAGAATTCATTCATTTTCGTTGTCACCCATTTGATTATTTATGGCTTCATTTTTAGTTACAATTTCTTCAGTTTTCGATTCACCATTTGGCATAATAAGACTTGCAAGGTCATTGTCGACAAAAAAACGAGTAGTTGTCTTAAAATAAGATTTTCAAATGAAAAAAAAATCATAAAGATTAATTGAATATATATACTTGACTACTGTTTGGTGAAAGAATTTGAACATGAACTCTTTCGGGAAGAGGTGGTTGTTCACTAAGATTTACTGGTTGTTCATGCCATTCACGTAAACTTTTAGGTGTTGTTAGACTTGAACTGGATTTATTACTATCTAAAAAAAAAAACTTAAATTTTCATCAAAAGACATACATACATATTTTATTAATCACAAACCTCTTCGTATTTTTTCATTATTGTCGGATGTCGACGTATGACGACTTGTCGATGGTGTCGATATCCCACTACCACTATTTGATGGTTGTCCAGAATGATTATGTGATGATGAATAATGTGAAATTTGTTCAATAGTAGTAAACGATGGTGATGAAGCAGTTGTTGTACTAGATGTAATTAATCGATTGCCATTTGGAATGTTCTGAATAATTAATTGTCGTGGAGGACCCGATACTAAAGCTGCTCGACCTTGAATAAAAAATTATTAAAAAAAAAGGTTATGAATCAATAATAAATATAGTGACATTATAAATAAGAAAAAGCTAAACAACATTTGATGTCATGGGTTTTTTTTTTGTAAATCTCATAAATGCAAAAATGAAGTCAACAATTATGAAAAAGAAATGGATATAGTACAACATCAATCTATTCTGTCATACATGTTTCGAAATTTGACACATTAAAATCTGAATAGGATTGAACTAAATATTTTATTTATAGAGAAAGGCATTCGTTTACTTACCAGGATGATTTAACAATGCTGGCACTGAAAGTCCTAAATGATAGATAAAAAGAAAAAAAAACATTGTGCATGTTATTGTACTTTCACTATATAAATGTTTCGTGTATGGACATGTCATAGACAACGTGAGTTGTATGGTCAAATAAAGAATGAATTTGATATCTTGCTTTTGTATTTTTTTATGATGGAGAAGCTTATTCCGTAAGATGATAGTCACTATATATCACTCGTCAAATTTAATTGTCCCTATTCTATTAAAATATCATCTGGCTCGTTACACTTATAATGATGATACGTAAAGAGAGTGAACATGAGACGCGTATGCGTGAATGAACGTATATAAATATACGTACGATACAGATTAATCAATCGATGGTTGATGATGTGAGACGAAAAGCAGAGAGAAAAAAAACCACTTGTCCATCTTATACTTACAACAAATCATTTGATGATACAACGATCAACATCAATGGAAATTTTTTTCATTTTTTTCATTTTTATTATTTTTAATAAAATATGTTATTCTTTAAATTCATCTTGTTTACCTTGTTCATCACATTTATGTTATCAATGTTATAATACATTACCGATTGATCGTACAAATATAGAAAAACTTTATATAATATGTAATACAACTAATAATTTATTTCAACAACAAGAACGTTTCTATTCAATAATACAATCTTATACAACAATAAATTGTTCTATGAAAACTCTTTATCTTGATCAATATACTCTTTGGAATTATCTTGAATATATGTCAATTACTTATGCTAATTTAACAAATTTATCACCTATGATATTTAATCGATCATTATTATTATTATCATCATCATCACCCATTTTATATAGTATTAAAACACTTAATCTATCATATAATTCAATACGAATAATAAATAAAAATTTTTCATATTATTTTCCATCATTAGAAAAACTTGATCTTAGTTATAATCATATAATACATATTAAAAAAAAAACTTTTATTAATTTATTATATTTAAAAGAACTTTATTTAAATAATAATTATTTAAAACAAATTTTACCAAATATTTTTCCACATCAATCATTAAATTTAATTAATTTAAATATGAACTATTGGCATTGTTCATGTACAAATATTCTTACACTTTCAATTAGTCGACCAATACCAATTTGTTCTACACCAAATGAATTTCAATATCAAAATATTAGTAATATTGCACAACAATGTTTTCTTCGAACAAAAGCAAATATTTTAATTACTACAAATATATATAAAAATCAAAATTTAACTTGTGTATTATCTTCAATTATCGATGAATGGAAAGATAAAATCAATAAAAATATTACATTACTATCAGCATGGCATATTGAACAAAATCAATCAATTTCATTAGAACATCTATTTGTTTTAAGTGATAAATCCGACAAATATCTTATTTGTTTTGATTTTCAGTCTATTCATACAGAAGCTATCTATACAATAATTAATCTTTCATCTATAATTTCTTTACAATCTTCATTTACATCAATAAATTTTACAAAATTTAATACACAAAATTCTACATTACTAACTTCAACAATTATAAATATTATATCATCAAATAAACTTTCACCATTTTTTCTCTGGCTTTTTAATACAAGTAAAAATATTTTACCAAAATATTTTCAAACATCTAATAAACATGTTTTAATTGTTTGGTTAATTCTTCTTATTATTGCTTTTATTATATTTATATTTCTTATTTATTTAATTTATTATCATAAAAAAATTTATAGACAACAATCAGAAAAATCTCATTCATTTATTCATTTTGATACAAATGCTTATAATTATCAAACATTATTCGATGTTAAATTTACATGTCAAAATCATAAATGTCTCTGTCAATATCATCGTCGTGCTCATTCAACACTATATTTAACAAAATCAACATCATTCGATTTACTTGACAAACAGACAAATTTTATACAATCACCATGTATGAAATCTAATCAATTACGTTATGCAAAAATTAAACAAATACCATCATTAAAAAAATTTGATAATGATTATTTAACAGGAGAATTTCGAACTATAGTTAAATTAAAAACCTTACCAAATTGATGTTGTGAATATGTTGGTCTTGTAGATGTACTATAATTTGATTGACTTGTTGTTTCTGGAATGTCTAATATTGAAGCTATTTTTGATAATTTTATTTGACGAGCTCTATATTGAAAAAAAATTCATTTGTATTTCAAAAACAAACAAGAAAAAGAAAATCAAATACCTTTGACGACCTTTACTTAAATTTTGTTTAGCTGTCATACAACGAATATGATCATCAAATGTAAATTTTGCATTAAGAATAGGTGGATTAGATTTAACATATGCATTATTAACTGGTTTATGAATTGTTATATGAAGAGAACGTGTATCTTCTTTATCATTTACTACTTTGACATCCTTAAAGAACAAAAATAAAAATAAAAAGAATTCAAATTTATACTATAACGTTTTGTGGAGATATTCAACAAACAAGGATCTAAACTAGCTCAATTGATTGTGGGCCTTCATTCCGTATATATTTAATTTATTAGTTTTAGGTAAAAAGCCATGTCAGATTGCAATGCCTGACAGAGTTCTTTGCTTTTAAATGCTTCCTTTTTATATAGGATAACAATTTCAATGACTCGAAAAATTCAAAAATAGGCATCTATTTATAGAAGTACATTATAGTATAATAATAAGGCTTAATAAAAAAAATACCAGGCTTCACATGCTCTTCCGAACAAAAGACACAAGTAATCGAATACAATGAAGTTCCTTCGAGAGTTCTTGGATGCATGATCACAAAAGAAACAATGAAAACGATTTCCCGGTTTTTTTTTCTCTCAAATTCAACAACGTTTTTTTCAGGCAGATCATGAAGATGGTTCGGATCCTTTAAACTTCAAAGTACTAAGAATTCTAGAATCGCATTTTCTTTCAAGGACGAATAGTTTCTGTCTAGGCAAACAATTGACAATTATCGCAAGCCTTATATAAAAAAATAAGAAGATATTAAGTTTGAGCTGACATAAATGATTGATTAAAATACTAACTTGCATTAAATCACAGAATTTTACAATACCCCATCCAAGTCTTTTAATATCTGGTTCAATAAGAATAAATTGCATTGGATCCGTTACAAGAAAATGACGTTCTCTTCTATAGAGAAAAAATTCAAACATAAGAACAAAAAAAAACAAAATCATTTTAATTCTAAATCTTACTTGTCTTTCATATGAACAGTACATGCAATTAAATCACTATTATCTTAAATTAAAAAAGAAAAAAAAAAGAACATTTATTTAATAATATATCTTCTTCTGTTATTACTTACTCAAATCAAGTTTATCATTTTCTTTAACTAAACTATCTACTTTTGTTAACGGTAATTCAGTTTCTGTAATTAATCTTAATTCCAAAGACAAAGCACGAATAAGAAAAAATACTCGAATTGACTAAAAAATAAAAAAAAAACAATGTTCAAAAAAGTTTTCATTTTAATCTATTTTTTTCTCTTTTACTCTTCTTGCTCGTTCAATATCACCGGATGGTAAACGTTTAATAAATTCTACTCCACTTAATAGTGTCGTTGTTGGTAGAAACAACATACATGCATCTTTTAATAAATATTCTAAACGTATTGGATTTAATCGTATTTGACGATATTCATCTTCAAACATATCAAGAAACATTTCTTGTTGCTAAAAGAATGTAAAACAAAAAAAAAAGATATAAAATATAAATAGAATATAGAAATTCTTACATGATACTGTCGTCTTAAATTTTCAGTTGATTGTTCATGTACTTGTTCAATACGTGCTAAATGATGATCAGATAAATAAGAAATCTTTTCTTCTTCATTGTAAACAAGTTTCTTTAATAAATCTATTGCTAAATTTAATGTAACAAGACGAATTTTTGAATCTTTAAATAATAGAAAAAAGAATTATATTATTTAAAAACAAAAAAAAAGTAAAATATAAACTATTCTATATTTTACCTTGCGGTGTTGATAATAAAAGTATTTCACAAAGTCGATCAATTAATATTGTATTATAAGAACTTTTATCCTTAAATAAAATAAAAAATTTATTTCTTTCCAAAAGAAACATTCAATAAAATGGTTCCATCTCGTTTCGTCGACAATTTTTTTTTTCTCATTTTGAGTGTTGGTTTCCTCGTAATCCACAGATACACAATGAACATTTGGTGAAAAAATATCAAAGTGATATTTTTTTTTTGTGATTTCAATTATGTTGAATATACATTGGTCAATTGCCGACATTTTGATTTAAAAAAAATTATTCTAGTTCTTTAAAGGTTTGAGAAAATCCTATGTCGAAGAAATGGTCAGATTTCTGTCATATTACAGGAAAATATCTTTTTCCAACGAAAATAGAAACATCTATAGAATAAATCGTAAAACTCTTGCTCTATACGAAAAACTTTGTTTTGAAAAAAAGTATGCATTCTTTTGTCTCAAGAAGTATTTTAAGAGAAAAATAAACACATATTTGAAATCAGCATGCAAAAAAATCGCATCGAATGATGTATCATTTGTTAATTTTTAAAATAAAAATTTTTCCAGTAAAATTTTAGAGTAACGGGGACCCGTCAGTCATTTTTCGGTGTACTGGAAATTAATATTTCTATAAAACAAATACAGTTTTTGACAGGAAATAAGCCATGCCTACAGGCTATATAGAAATTACCCACTATGAAACACACACAACTCATATTCATTATGTGCTTAATTAATTGAGTGTTAACTTGTCGACCAAATGGAAAAAATATATATTTGTCAACGAAACGGGGAAATGATATCAATAAAATAACGTACTGAAGATTTAACTGTTAAACCAACAGATTCAAGAATAACACTATCAACAGCTAGAAATGACAAAAAATTAAATTTAAAATTTATTATAATTGAAAAAAATAAAGCTTACATGGATTCATTGTCATTGTTAGAAGTATGCTTAATGCATAAAAACATTGTTGATCGTTTTCAGTACAATCAAGTGCTTTAATTAATGCTTCAAAATAAGGTCTAGAAAAGAAATATAAGAATTTCTTTTCTTTGTTTTAGATTTACCTTTCAGCTAAATGAGTATTATTAAATTTCGTTTGATCTATACGACGTTTATTTTTTTCATCATCAGTCCAATTTGATACATATAAACATGTAGATTTTACATTTGGTTCAATAATTCGTTGATTTATTGAAGAAGTTCGAGGAGATGAAGATGCTGAGCGTATTCGAGTTTGTTCATGATCATGACGATATCGAGATGTATCGTTATTAATATCAAGAGCATTTAGTGAAATTTCTGAAAATATAAATAGATAAATAATAAAGAATAACAAAAGAAATAAATTAATACCGGAAGTTGTTTTAGTATAAATTGATTCTGCTTTAGATAACCAAACATCGAGAGATGCGGGAGGTAAACTATAGGAAATCTAAAAATATTAAATAAACAATTGAAAAATTTGAAGGAAAAACAACAGATTTTACTTGTTCTCCAAAACGACGTTGAACAGCTTCAACAGTTTCAATATTTGCCGATAGAATTATATCGGCTAATTCTTCTACAACTGGTCCATAGTAAACGACAAGAAAGACCAAAAAAAAGAACAAATAAATACAAAAATAGATTAAATTTTGTCAATTCATCAATTACTTACTTCGGCAAGAAGAAATAAAGCAGATAATTGATCTAGCATAGTTCGAGAATCCTTAATAAAATATATAATTTCATAAATTAAGATCGAAACAGACTCACAGCTGAATCTTTTCATAGAAAGTCTTCAAATTTTTTTTTGTATTATTTTATTCTGAGAGCATCTGAACTTTCTCTATTGATAAACATCATATTGCCAACATTCCGGTTGTTCTTATATCGAATACATCTCCTCTCATCAGTTGAAAATACTCAGATTACCAGTCTTTATGAAATATCAGTCCATATTAGATGATACACGGGACTACGTTTTTTGGGTCGCAGCCTAGAGAAAATTATTCCAGAATTTATTTGTATAATGTCTCCTTCAAGACGCGTTATTTGATTTATTTAGTCGATGACTAGTACTTTTTTCTTGGATCATCTCTCTTGAATTATGTTCTGATTGATGATTTATAAGACAAATCGCTTAAAACCAAACAATATTTAACTATAATCTTTAGTTCCGATGTGGCAAATTTTTTTCCTCATGGTTTCAGTCCTGCGTATCTGTGTTTAGTCAGTAATAACTCTGGTGATTTTTCATTATCAGTATTTTAGCGCATGTTCAAATTTCTCTGTATGTCATTGCACATACATATAAATGATTGTTCCTGTGTATCTCTTCCTTTTATTTGATGAAGATAATGTCTCTATGGTTTTCTTCATTTCTTACGTATTAAAAATCATGCTTTCGAATAATATCTTGACTTACTTTTATTCGTGACAATTTATCGCGTTTAATTAATGAAAATACATAAACTGGTATAAGAAGTCGATTCATGAATTGATCTTTAAGAACATTATTAAGACTATCAACATTAAGTAAAAATATATCTTGAAGATAATGTATATGATCAATATGTTCTTCTAAACTACATGTTAAACGACCACGATTATTAATACTAAATAAAATAAAACAATAACCAATAAATATGAACGACATATATTTGTATCTTACTCTTGATTATTTCTTATTAAACTATCAAAATCTAAAATATGACTTCGTATAAACCATACAAGATTAGAAAAATATGCTGTTGCTGTACGATCTAATATAAAACGATGCATTGCTGGATCAGATACTACAAAAAAAAAAATCCGTTTATTTTTTGTATTTTCATTGTTACATATATACCTTTATAAACATTTAATGTTAATGTTCGTACAGCAATACGAACCATTGTTTCTGGATGATTAAAAAATTTTATTGCTTCAACATATAATGGAAAATCATGATTTCTCTAAATAAAAGAATACATAAAAAAAAAGAATTAAAACAAAATAAAAATTATAAACATATCATACTTCATTATAAAAAAAATGTATTGAATGTGTATTTAATTTCAATGAAAGAGTTTTAAGAAATGAAATATAATATGCAGTTATTTCTTCATCATTAAAATCAAATTTATGTACAATTATATTATTGATATGATTATTTGATAAAAGGTAATCTTGAATGAAAAGAAAATTTTTTTATTTTTTTCTATTATGAAAATAAAACTTACATAAAGATGTTTCATGACGAATATTTTCAAAGAGAATATTGAGCGTTTGTAATACTTGTACACATATATAACGTCCATGTTTTTGACGCATATAATTTAAAAAAAATGTTAACATTCCTCGTTCGAGAAAATAACTAAAAGAAAATGAATTGTACGATTTAGAGAATATGATTATGTATAGACTACAAGGATTGATTTAAACTATCAGATTTATTTATCAATATTATTTAATACATTCGAATTGTATCAAAAGAGAGCCATAGTTCTGAAGAATATGTCTTCATCCCATCCCGTCAGTCAGATATCTCCCTTCAGCCTAATATCTTCCCTTTAATGATAAGGTGTATAATGAGAATTAAAGAAAAATTCAGGAAGTTACTGTTCATGAAGTAGGGAACTCTTCCGAACTTGACAAAATTTTAATATACCAGAATATGAGTAGATTACACTACAGACTCTTATTTAGTCCATCGTATTTTTTTTATTATCTGTCAGACTGATCGTAGAAGATTTATAATCATAATATTGACCCATATGAATCATTTAAATACGATTGTATTCATCGTCTTGAGAAATTCAATATTTCAAATCATGACTCTTTTGTTTGATAAAAATTCAATAACAAATAGAAAGAACCTACTCGAATACAGAACTATCATTTTGATCTCCCCAAATAAGAATTTCTGATATAAATCGAAGTGTTTCAATTAATAAATCACGATTTGCATCTGATACAATTGGATTACGATTTAAGACACCATATAAATATCTGAATAAAATACAAAAATAACCCATTTCTATTATTTTGTGTATATATCGAATAACTTACTTAAGATTTTCAATCGAATGCGGATTTCGTGGTTTAGTTTGTCCAAACAAACCATTTTTTGCTCGAGTAAATACAGACATTAAAATTCTAATCTACAACTGATTGTATAGAAATTTTTTATTTTTGTTTATTTGTTTGTTTATTTATTTTATGCTTCTTATCAAAGAAAATAAACAACAGTATTTTTTTTTTTTCTATCCATCGTTGGATGTTTATATTTTATTAAAAGAAACATTAACATTGTGTTTCTAAGAAAAAAAAAGCAACAACGGATTTTTCTTGTGTATCTTGTAATGTTGATGAGAATATTTAAATCATAAAGATTTATTCTCTATTCATCATTTTTTGTCGTTTAAGTTTCTTCTTTGATTCTTTCTTTTTAGCTGCTGGTTCATCATCAACGGCACCACCTGTACGTGTTAAAAGATTTTCTTTTTCACTTAAAATTAATTCAATGTGACACGGTGATGATTGATACGGATTAATACGACCATGTGCACGATATGTACGACGACGAATTTTTGGTGCACGATTTACTTGTATATGATCAATAACAAGATGATCAACATCAAGACCTTTAACGTCGGCATTTGATTCAGCATTTTTTAATAATTGTAAAAGAATTTCAGCTGATTTTTTTGGCCAACGTCCTTGTGATACTTTAAATGCTTTTGCTTGAGCCTTACGACTAACACCACCATTGTAACGTTTGAATGGAACAATTTCCTTTTTATTGACGACATTTTTTAAATAACGTGTTGCACGTCGTAAAGTCATACGTTTAAGTGCATTAGCTGTTTCACGTGTGTTTTTAAAATGAACACGTAAATAGGCACCACGAGTTTTGCAGGATTTTGCTGGATTTTCAACAGTGCCTAGAAAAAAATAAATAAAAAATTTTCATAGGAAATAGAAAAACAAGTCAACTTACGTGCATAGCGAACCATGATGTTATTTTCTTGTTCGTGAAAAAATAATTCAAATGTATAAAGAACAAGATCTAGAAAAGAAAAATAATTTTAGAAAAAAATCGAAAAAAAAAAACGTTCTATCAGAATAATAAGTGTTTATTTGCAAGTTTTTGGACTGAGTGATAAACAAGATCAAATGCCAATAACCAACCACAATATTGATGTACTGTACTATCCTTATTAATCAAAACAGAAAAATATATGTATTAAATTATAATAACGAGTATCAAAAATTAAGTAGAAAATTTTTATTGAATTTTCAATAAATATTTTTACAAATCAAAAATATAGATGTCACTAATGCACACAATTGCAACAGAGTTACCGATTAATATGAACAGGAAAATATTTACATTATTAATAGTTGCATATAATAATAATACATATGATTTTAGTTTATATAAAATAAATTCTTTCGATACACAGAAGGGTGTGGGTGGATGTGGACATGTGGATTTGGTACTTCTATCGACGCCCAGATCCACACCCATCCACCCACATCCTTGGTGTTTCCATTTTTTCGATTCTCGATCAAATATTATAAGCGATCAGGTTTATCTATCCAAGTTGATTTAGACTATTTTCACTATTGCGAAATCGGCGATAAGTTGTGATGAATCGCCAACATCAAAATAATCGACAATTAATAATCGATAATTTTTATAAAAATCACGATAAATCACCAGAACTGTGACGATTTTCATAATATGAGTAATATGATATAAACCAAACATAGAATTTTTCAGTTAAGTCACAATAATTAAAATAAATCTTTTTTATTTATATATTTGACATAGAATTATTACTTTAAAAGAGGAAAATAAGATTTGATATAAAGAAAATAGATTCGTCCTTCTATTTGCCGCAACAATTTTGTACATAGATACGAAAATGTTTCTAATTGAGATTAGAGTAGAAGAACGTATAAATATTGTACAGTATTTATTGTGTCAAATCAGGTTTCTAATTGATTTACGCTATTTTCAATGATATCTTGTCCCTATGTTAGGGACAATGCTCTAGACAAAATCATAAAAAGACTTGGACTGATGAGGATTTACTTCATGAACTATCATTAATTAAATATACACAAGATATGATTCAAGATTCATTTACTATGCGAAGAGATGCATTTGAAACACATCCAGCTATTCAATCTGGTTTAGATTTAATTGATACAAATGGTCAACATACATATATGCTGGAATTACTCTGTTTATGTATTCCTAAAAACGAATTTAGTAAAACAAACATAAAATTTCATCCAATATTTGTATTCGACTTCTATATTTATTTAGTTGATTTTAAATGTGATGAAGAATATGAAGCAAACGAAGATAAACATAAAGAAAGTTGAAAAATAATTCTTGGTGACAAATGATGATGATGGATTAAATTCAAATGAACCAGACAATCAAGATTAATCAATGGTCACTGCAGCAAAAATTAATACATCAAATTCAAGTTCATCAAATAATGATAAAGAAAATTAATATAAAGACAATATATATGCATATAATTAATCATTTATTTATGTACACGATGTGGGTGTGGATGTGTTTCGTTTCTTTTTACACCCACACCCGCGTAAAACGAGAATTTTTAAAAATTGCCTCAAATATAAATGATGGTATAACTTGAGACAGGGTGATATGTTTAGATTATTATACAATTTAATTAATTCTAACTGTTTCTTTTTCTCCTAGATAATATATTAAAAACATTATTTACATCATCATCAAAATGTGAACGTGATGATATTCTACACGATGTGGACCAAGATTGTGAGCTTTAATTACATTGTTTGAAATATATATATATATATATATATTTGATTATGGTTTAGGTAATAACAAAATTTTATTCAAAGATTTCGTTGAACGTATTCGAATGTTTTTACATGAAAAAAAAAGATGTTCATAAGTTTATATTAGAGGTCAGTTTGATTCGATTTTTTTGTCATAAAGTGTTTAAAATATAGTGATGGTGAATGATGGAACATACATTCTAGAAAAAAGTTTTTTTTTTGGAAATCAAAAAAAAAATTCCGTATCTTAATCGATTTTTAAGAAACTTTTCAATCTGACAACTACACCTTGATTCGTATAAACTTGTTTTTTTTCGTCAAACATAGCTTATCTTGACGATATTTTAGAATAGTTCGAAATGTTTATTATAGAAAAATAATTAATTTTGTACGTATTGAAGATTTTTTAAATAATTTTCAAATGTTAACATTTTTTAATATGATGAATATAGTTCATCTATCAACATATATTAAAGAGCTAATTGGACATTTTTCTTTCCTTTTTTCGTATCAGTTTGATGACTATTCAATATTGAACACTACAGAAGAACGAGAAAACATAATGATGTTGTCTCGTCCATGTCTTTGTCCAAAATGATATATATGCACATTTCCTATAGTATTTATAACTTAATCTCGACGATAATATTAATATAATTGAGAAATCAAACGTAAGAGTATTTTTTCTTATCATAATTTTTATCTGGTAAATTATAACAGATAGATGTTGTTAGTGATTGAACTTCAAGAATTGAGTCATAATGAGAGTGATGACGGGATCGTTTGAAACGATTTACCATGTATGCTTCTATATTTTGCTCATAAGTAACAGGTATATCAAGATGAGGAAGAGTTCAAAACGATATGACAGAATGTTGTGAATAGATGACTCTTCTTTACATCAACGACATCTTCATCGTATTAGTTAAATTTACGATAGACATCAGAGAGATTGAAAGGAGCATCAAAGAGTGTGGGTGCGACGATCTAGTTGATCGGAAGAAGTATCCAATTGATTAACAGGGATATTTTACCGAAATCTTTGTGAAGGAGCTCGGCGTTCTCTCAAAATCATATTTTTTAGTTTCGACTTAAAATTTTGGGAAAATAGAAAACCAAATTAGAATCACTTTGAAAAAGTTGCGATGTTTTTAATAATTTTTTTTAGATAAGATTGTTTCATAAAAGTAGAAATAACAGACTATTTGGTTTTGTTTATTTTAGGATGAAAAAGATGACACAGATCATTGGACCACTTATGGAAAAGAAATTGATCAATTATCAGATGCTGGCGTTACGCTCACCAATGAATTACTTAAAGAACCTTGTGAAAAACACAATCTTTGTGATAAAAATAAGCTGGAAACGTTTTGTGGCCTGTTTTTTTATTGCTATTGTCCATCTTTTGTCTATGTGATCTTTTTGCCATTGAATGATTAAAATGATAACTGACTTCATTTGAATGTCTTTCATTGTTACCATTGACATTTTGTATAGGTGCAATATAAGTATAAGAAATAATATTTGTCAATCGAGAAATATGAGATGTCTACCTTCTTTTTTTCTGGTCGAGAAAGAACAATTTTTGTTCAATTGTGATTGTAGTTTTCCTATCACGGAAAATAACTTAAGAAGAAAAAACGATTTCTCGAAAAAAAAGTACTAGATTAGAGATGAGTTAGTTGTTAGCAAAGTCTTCATGTCCAGCTCGCTTTTGTGTGGATATGAAAGAGTAAAAAATAAAGAATTTAAACAGTTCTGTTTTGAAATTCTTACACACATATGAATGAATGATGCCATGAAATATTAATTAGTAAAAGACGAACATAACGATGTTAAGACATGTACTCTAGTCGAGACTCCCCAGAAGAATCTCAGAGGAATCCCTGTCGTGAGTCCCTGGGGGAGTTAAGAGGAGATTCAGGGACTCCATATGGATTCCCCAGGGACTTCGCGGGGACTTCCTAGAGACTCCCCAGGAAATTGATCAGTATTATCAGGGTCTCTCCAGAAGTCACCATTGGAATTCTCTGAAAAATTCAAATTTATGAAAATTTTAGAGGGACTCTCTGGGAAGTTTTAAGGAGATCCTGAGATATGCAACTTCCCAGGGGACTCACAACAGGAATTCTCCAGGGATTTTGCATTTTTCAGGGGACTCTCCGGTGATTTCATTAGGGAGAGTCGACGAATATGCGAAACACATATGATAATACATACAAAACGAAAGGAATATACCAAACACATATGATGATGTGTAACGAAACAAAGGAACAGATCTAACACATATGATAATACATGCAGACCAAAGGGAAAATTTCGAATACATAGGGTGACGTATATTGAAGGTTAGGAAAAGATCTAATACATATGATGGACGATTCCAACAAGAATGAGGTATATATATATACAAATGACAATGTTCCAATCACTACCAAACACATTTTACCAAGAAGCTTTCTTAACTACAAATCAACTTCAAAATCATTCAAAATGCCAATCAAAACCATTTATCATAAGATTCCAGAATCAACTTTCCAAGTGTTCATCAAAGCAGTATTTTATAGCTATTTCAAACGCATCTGCGTCTGGGTTATCAAGGTATTTTTGATTGTAACCTGAAGAATAAATTTTCAAGGCAACTTTGTTAAAAACAATTCTTTCAAGGGGGTATTTCTAACGTATATTATTTCATTAGAAAATCTACAAAATGCCACCAAAACGAAGAACCCTGATGGGCAGAAATACATCAGACTCGAGGAGAATGGCAGCTTCCCGAGCAGTCGAGACTCCAGAACAGAGAAGTACTCAGCTTGATAATCAAAGGTCACGGCAAGCAGTCGCCAGAGCAGCCGAGACTTTGGAAGAGACAAGTATTCGGCTTGATGATTAATGTTTTACGACAAGCAGCTGCCAGAGCAGCGGAGACGCCAGACCAGAGACGAGCTCGAAGTGAAGATCAACATACAAGACAAGCAGCCTTAAGAGCCACACGCTGGACAGTTATAGAAGGTGAAACATTTCGATATAATCCAGCCAACAACTACGAGAACCATCCTCAATTTAATATTGGACAAATGAACGACCCTTGCTCACACTGTGGTGCTCTCAAGTGGATTGCAGAAGCTCTAGGTATGTGCTGCTCTGCTGGTAAGGTCAAATTACCAGCACTCCAACCTCCTCCAGAGCCACTAGATTCATTGATGTCAGAGGCAACGGACAGATCGAAGCATTTTCTGGAGAATATCAGAAAGTACAACTCCTGCTTTTAGATGACGTCTTTTGGTGCCAACATTGTAGTATCCGAGTCAGGTTTCATGCCCACTTTTAAGGCTCAGGGTCAAGTTTACCATCGTGTGGGATCCTTACTACCGCTTCCGAATGAAGAGCATCAATTTCTTCAAATTTATCTCATGGGTGACGAACAAAAAGAAGCAAATCAATGTTGCAGTAACATTCCTGGCACAAGACCAGACGTCATTCCGGAATTACAGAGGATGCTTCATCAACATAACACCTATGTTCATATGTTCAAGGATCCTCTTCAACAGATGCCGCGTGACGAGTTGAGGGTGCACATTCCAGCGGACAAGAAATCTGCTGGGCAACATCCCGGACGCTTTAATGAACTTGTGACAAATGAAGTGGCGATCGTCATTGTGGGTAATGAATTTGATAGACGAGACATCATCTTGGAGAAAATGAACAACCAACTGCAGAGAGTGTCAGAAACAAACAGGGTCTACGATGTCTTGCAATATCCTCTTATCTTTTGAGAAGGAGAAGATGGCTACCATTTCCTCATCATGCAGATTAATCCGAGAACAGGAATGCCTGTCGATGGGGAAAAGGTATTGGCGATGGGCTTTTACACATACAGAATGATGGTGCGAGATGGAGATGCCAATCACATTTTTAGGTGCCGCCAACTCTTCCACCAGTTTGTGGTCGACATGTATGCCAAGATTGAGTAACATTATTGATCAACTGCATTAAGTGTCTTAAATTCAGCACTAAAACACACCACTTGAATCAATGTTACAAATGTATAGTATTTAAATGAATTTTGCTGAGATTTAATTATACCCTTTGTAGATAATTGATTCACATTAAAACGGTTAAGATTATTTGACTGATATTTTATCAACATATTCTACTAGTCTTCACTAAACTAGAACCTTATAGGTGTTCATGTGAGAGTTCAACGAAAATGAACATATATATCTTTTTTGCGACATAGTCAATTTTCAAATAGATATCGATTACTGATTCATTCGATGATAAACTACTAGTTTTCTCAAACAAATATTTAGGTCAAAACTCTGTATTAAGATTTTCCGTGCTTCGATCGACGCTTAAACATATCCATAATATGAGATGGAATGGTGTCTAATATTTGAATGTATTTCATCATCAATTATGAAAACGACTATCGTTCTTTCTTTGCATCGTTGATCGAATAAAGTAAACATGTCAATCGAGTTTGAATTCGAAGATATTCGGTTGACCAACGAAGGAAGAACTACTATTGAGATTCGGTCGAATTATTG